TCGAGGAGTTACAAACTACTTCTGGGCATACAGAAATATGCTGCACGGCACAGCAGTTTAAATACATTAGTCACTGCATGCAGTTGAGGAGAAACAGCATCTTCCAATCTGTAATTTAATGTAAATTAAACTAAGCCAAATCCAAAGCCCAACCAGGTGAATGCATATTTTTCTCTGTTGATTTTGGACGAGGCTTTAAGTGAGAACTGATGGTAGACTGCAGCTCTAACCACTCAAGGAGAAAAGCAGTGACTGGTGTTCAACACTGGTTTACTGTTACAGTAATGGACTATAAAAATAAAATTACAAAAGAAGGGTGGTTTTTTTTTTTCCGAAAAGTTTCTGAAGATAGTACTTGATGGCTTTTTACGCACCGCAAGCCTTCCAGACCAGAAAATGCAAAACAATACAGGTATCAGAAGACATCAGCCTTCTCCAGCATCAGGCCTCCTCAATTAACAGCCGCAGTTCATTTGTGGCATTTACTAAATTATTATGTAAGGCCCTGCTCCAGTTAGCTGTAGAAAGGGGTTTAGGGTTATTTGCTGTTAGAATGCTCTTTTGCTTCTTCAGCTTTTTGCCTTTTCTATTCCTGCAAGATGTGCGATATCTGACAAAGATACACAGAAATACAGACACAGCATCTGACACTCCAGCACTTCACCTGTACTCCTAGTAGTAGGACACTCACCATGAAACCATTTAAACCTTTAACTTTATGGGTGAAAAGATAATGAATTTGATCCAGAACCTGCTTTAGGATTCACCAAGTACCCCCATATTCATTAATTTATTGTATTATTATGGAAATTCCTTAAAAGCAATCATAATATAACTGCTGATTCACAGGGAACAGCAGCTGTGCTCACCCAACAGCCACATTCACAATCACAGTCCCTACTGGCATATGTCTTGTCAAGACTGCCCGAGTATTTAAGTAGGTTTGTTATTTCTCCAAACCCCAACTCCTTTAAGTTTTTCTTGAGAACTAGTTTGCTGAGGGATACGTTTTCATCAATATATATATGAGTTTATAGGAACAAGGCCACTTGCTAAAACTCAGGCAAAGCAAGCAGGGCTCCAAAGCCTCAAACCACCATCAGGACACACCTCCAGCTGTGAGTGGGACAAAAGAATAGAGCTTCCCGGAAGAAGAGATCATTTGACCTCAGCCTGGGAACCAGACGTGGTAAGCAGCTTGTTAGGCCTCCTCTGCTACTTGTGGTACAGCAGATCTTCTCTTAATGACCATGCAAAATCTACCCTGAAGAGTGGTAGGATGTGAAGGTCTGGTTGTCAGCAGCCTCCATCACTTCTCTCAGAATCATTAGTCTGGATTTATAGTGGTGTGCTCAGTTAGAATTACAGCCACAACCAATGCTTGCTGTACTTCAGCATCTTGGTCCTGGATCTACCTTTGCCTCCAACAGGTATTAAAGCAAGATTTGGTAATAATATTGTTCCATTTAATCATATAAGAAAAAATGAAATTGGTTGACAGTATGTAATACTAACTCCTTTCAGTTTTTCTGTTGTTTCTGGTTGAATTCAGAGCTTACACTTAAATATTTTTGCAGTATTCAAGAGATTGTCTCTAATGCTGTAGCTTCAGCCAGAACAAACACAGCCTTGAAAAAATGAAGCTCTTCCTTCATGCAAGCCTTGGTTATAGTACAAGAGTTCGGTTATTATGGAGCAAGTAAAACACATCCGTAATTCATTGCATTGTTTTAAGATCTTTGGGACATCCGTCCCTTCCCCAGCAGCAGGCACCTTACATAGAGAGTTCTAGATGTCTAATATTAGTTAGAGCCAAGTGAATAAATTCTTGGGCTCAAAGCTGATACAAATCACTATTGTGCTAATGAAGTCAAACAAGCCACATCGGTTTACAACACAGAACACAACCCATACTTGCAGCCTGGGAAAACAAGTCAAAGGAAAACTGCCTTTTCTTTTTATAGCCTGGCTCTGTAATTAGAATTTCTGTCTGCACTGTAATTTGGTATTGGAAAGAAAAGAAAAGCACCACATATTTTCAGCAGACGGATCAGTATAAGCTATAAAAATTTGTTATAGCTGAGTTTACTCAAACATAACCTGCAAGCATCCCAGAGCCTTCAAGACCTCCAAAGCTATAAACAGTAATTGTTGCAAGAACACTGGATATGACAATCCAGATCCTAAGCAAAAAGGCTGGCTAATAAGCACTGACATTTCCTGCCTGGGAAAGCAACAGCTACTGTGATCCTGAAAAATCTGATGCTCAGAATACCTGAACAAAAATAAGAAAGAGGAATAGAACAGCCATCCCATACCTACACATGAACACGGAGTGCAAGAGGCCAAGCAGCGTGCACGTGGCTTGCCTCTGGGTAAAAGTGAGGGCAGCACTTTTGATCTAAAAAGTGCAAGACTAAGCTCAGATGAAAAACAACTAGGCAAACAAACCAGCAAATTGTTGTTTGACTGCTGTGCAAAGAGTAAGTTACCTATGTTGCCACTCTGGGAGCATAGAGATAAGCAGTTTTAACATGATTGTATAATTTACTTGACAAGAGAAGGGATAACCTAGCTGCAAACCGGGAAAACAGATGACTAATCATGCAGCTGATAAGCAGTTCCCTCTGTTAGAAAGAGACCTGAACTTCAACTATTCAGTCCTTCCATGCTTGCATGCTTTTGCCCAGTTCTCTCAAATCATCACAGCTATACAACACTACAAGAACTTTGGGCAGCCACCTCCCAGGACTTCCCCACTGAAGGGCAATGATCCCTGATCCAACAGACTAGAGAGCCCATGCTCTCAATCTTCAAAGTCACAGAAAAAGACTGTCCTCATATTTTACTAGCACCCCTGTCAGCTTAATTTCCTGCCTCTGAAGTCAGATTTTAGAGTGTGAGCTGAAGCACTGCAGGCACACCACATTTCCCTGGATAGCACAGTGATTTCATGGTGCTGGTTGCCTTGTTCTCTAAGTGCAGGTCTCCAACAGAAGGGCCAGCATTGCTCCATCACACTAGTCTGAAGACAGGGAAAACAGCAGGGGAGCAAAGGAAGAGGAGACAAATAAGATTTCAGTAGCTCCTGCTACTGTTTAAGGGAACAATTTCTAAAGGCTTTTTCTCAGAAAAGAAAATGGACATGATGTTTGGGAGCACCCACAAGTATAATCTCTAATGTTTAACCTCAGGAGTCCCTTATTAAAAGTGCCATTAATCAAGGGGAAAGCCCAGAATTCACTGCTCTGTTCAGCTTTATAAAAGGAGCACAGGAGATTGTGTGTTGGGAAAACTTTCAGGCTTTGCCACACAAGAGGAGGCATGGGCCTATCTTCCATCTTGTATGGGCTTCCTTACTTGTCAGCATGATTCTTTCCACTGAGCAAGAGGTAAAAGAAAAGCATTTTAGAATGCATTTGGCCATTAAGATTACAAGTTATAAACGGCCACAACTAGCATACTTCTGCTGAAGAAGAGGAGGGAGCATTTTTTTACCCACATGTAGTCAAGAGTTTTCTCTCATTTGTTTACTGCTGTGATCAGCATTTTGGTGGCAATCCCCTGTCCCAATAGAGTTAAGGGTACTCAGCAACTTCATCAGTTTGCCCAAGCAGAGACAGACACATTTTGAACAGGACTGATCCAGAGACATGAATAAACTTGACCTGATGCAAGCATGACAAAGTCCTGCAAGCAATTTCTCATGACCTGACCCACCATGAACATTCACAAGCCCTAACAGGCATTACAGGAAGCAGATTTAACAGGACTTGTCATCCACCTTTGCATTTTCTGCACAAAGGGAGAGCTAGCAACCCAAGTCCTTTCCCACAGACATTTCCACTCATCTGATGGACACAAACAAAAACAGACTCCTCTAGATCCTCTTCTTCAGTGCCTCCTTGAGCACTTATTCCCATCTAAAGGAAGGTGGCAGACAACATGCCTGAATGGGCAGGGCCACACAGCCCTGGATGTATCTGACGACACTGAATCTAACCACACACTATACCAGCCCATACCAATGCACAGGCTGGAGCCTCCTGCTAAATCCTTATCAGTAAACACCCACACAGAAGGAAATCCAGGCCAAAAGAGCTACATGACTGCTCAAAGCCTCAGATCATCTCGTTTCTGAATCTGCTACAAGATTTTAATTCCAAGAGCCCTGTGCTATAAATCACTACATGACTGAAAAAAAACATGGAGGTAGTGTTAACACAGTGTTAGGTTCCCATGGGATTTAAGGAGCACTGTGGGGAAGACACCTTGTTATAAAACTCAATCCTCATCTGAAGCAACTGTCAAACACGGTCTCCAAGGAGAAGGTTTCAGATATCCACAAGGCTTCACAAGAACAACACACAAACACTTAAACCTGATGTCATCTTGACATTTAGGCAACTCTTGCTCAAGACGATTCAAAATGGGAAGATTCAACACTCCTCAGTAAGGACAGAGACGAGAATCATCATTTGTCTGTCTGCCAGGTCAACAGTCAAACAAGATCTCATTTGTGACAGATTTGCAATCTCTCTTTTCTTTTAATAACCACACATCTGTGTCCATTCACACCCTACACAGGCATGAATCATTTGGGTATGACACTGACTATCACGACGGATAGGTAAGATTTCTACATGTAAACTACTAGGATCCCCTCCTCCTCCTCAGTTTGCTCAAAACAAGTGGAGCTGGCATGCTGATGTAATGACACAGTACCAGCAGCGCAAGTTACACTCCCCTTGGAAAAGGAACTCATGGTGATTTTCAACATGTCATCCTTCAAACACCTCACAGGCAGCAATGCAGTTCCTCTGCCTGCCCTGAAGTCATGCCATCCTTGCAAATGGTAATGAAGTGCATGACAAGAGTCCTGAGGAGTGAGAGGGCTCCTAGGTCCCTCTTACATCATTTCAGCCTTTAAATGGGGGGCACAAATCCAATCTTCACCTTCCCTCAGAACACCGAGGCACTGAAATGAAACTGCATCTTACCTTGCCTTTGTATAAAAACCCTGAGCAGCGGATGAGCACTTGAAACAGCTTTGAAGAAGTTGTCGTCATTATTAATGGGGAGAAGATCTCCATGCACATCAGCATATCCGATCATCACCTCCAGGTTGGCTATATGATGAATGTGAAGAATTAGCTTGTAGAAATCTTCAAACTTTCCCGGCTTGTAGCGATCCAGGGAGAACCTTCTGAACTCTGCTCCAAACTGCAAGAGAAAACAAACAAAACATCTACTGTCAAATGCCACCACAGACAAACACTCTAGCTGGGCATTTAACATGGTCTGCATCACCTCTCTCTTTCTATGATGAATATTATCACATATTGGTGCTTTCAAATCTGAGGACCCAAAAGTCCATTTGTAGAACATAACCAAGACACCACCCTACTTGACAATAGATACTGTAAAGTGTGTCACCCTAAAAAAGTGTATTTTTTAAATATTAAGTTTCCAATAAATCCTCTAGAGGATAATTGCATTTGTACGATCTAACTTCGAAGCTCCATCATTCATTATCACCTTGGGCACCCACAGAATCATTCTTCTCCAAAGTAGAAGCATTTACTCTACCACTTTCAAAAGAAGCTACTCAGCTATTCAAGCAACCTTATAAAAATTCTTCTCACGTTTCTCATCAATACTACTGGGATCCCAACCACAAGACCTTTAAATAAGTGTGGCATGTGAGCACGCAGCTTGTTATTAGGAAATACACTCATTCTACATGCCCCCTGAATTTCCTGGTAATCCATACAGGAGGAGGAAAGCTCTTATTCCAAGTTAGTTTTCATGGGGTTAGTTTTTGTGTCACTCCACTGGTTTTTATTTTTGAAGCTTTACAGACCACTGAGTGGCTGTTAAAATAATAAAAAAAGTAAAAACTTAAAAAAATTAGAAAAGAGGGCACAACTGAAAGTGTTAAAAATCCATTAAGTTGCTTTAAGCTAATCAGAAAGTGACTGAAAAAAAAAATATTCTAATGGACCTTCTTTCTGACATTAGAAGCCAAACAAGCTATTAAGAACAGGAGGGAGGGAAAAAAACAGATTCTCTATTCAGGCAAATGAACAGTGAAAACAGGCATCTAGTTAAAATAAGGAGCTTAAATCATTTTTCTGCTAGATTTAACTTCATAACTGAAATTGTATAGTACTAGTAAACTACTGTTCATCAACTGAACTTCCCTAACCATGCTAACTCATTCCTGAAAACAAGGAATCACACACACAAATCCAAGGACAAGGAAGGCTGTGACCATGATCTCATGGAAGCTCTCATTTGCAAAGACAGTCAATACCAGGGCAAGAAGCCAAAGACAAAAAACTAACAAGCAGACAAAGGATAAAAAAAAAAAAAAAAAATTTTCTGAACTTTCTGTAGATAAATTCTTTCTCAAAATGAAGAATTACTTGCTTAGAGGTGCTCAGATTTTAAATCAACTATGCACGCAAGCCACTCGTTTGCTAAGACCAACAAAAGTATGAATCATCACCATAATAATCTTCAAGGAAAGAAAAAAAGCCCAACAACCAAAAAACATCAAATCAACCCTACAGGCTTTGGGTGCAAGCATGTTCTCAAATTACTTCCGCAGTTATGAAAATCCCACTCTTCAGCATCAAAGCCTAGTTATGATCATCTGAAAGCCTGTTTAGTCAAATTATGCTGCTTGTTTGTAATATTAACTGCTAGTTCCAGTTTGGATTTCAATTCAGAATGCCCATCCAAATACACAAAAGCTGAACAAACCACAGCTGGTTTCAATGGAGGAGAAACAGTCCTCTTTTGTCCCCCACCCCTGCTCCTCTCCAGAAAAATCCAAGATGCAACTAACTTCTGTTGACACATTTCAAACCCCAAAAAAAGCCTAAGTCTTTTTATTTAAAGGGTATTTTACAGTTTTCTTTTTCCTCAATTCAAATAAGAAGCACCCATCTTCAAGTGTCAAGTTTAACATCTTTACAGTAAAGGTGCAGGAACAAGATCGTTGTAGGCTTTGTTAAGAGTTGCTCCACACACCTGAACAGGAATAAAGGATTCCTTTAGCCAAAAAACACACCAGAGCAGGGCAGTCAGATGTCAATCTCAGTAACCACTTGTTTACTGGACAGACTACTTGTTTAAGACCACTGGCATGCACAGTACTTGCAAGGAAGAAGATGCTATGGGGTCTCATCCCAGCCAGGGCAACACCCATCCCTTCCTACACACCCACCCTGCATGGTCTGCTAGGAAGCACATCAGTCCTGCTCTGCCCAATACACACACACCAAGGCACAGGCCAGCTTCCATGCTGGGGCATCATGCTTAACAGGAAAGTGACATGTGAAATGAGAGAGGAAAGAAGTATGGATGGTTATTTACACTTTGGTATGATCAGTTCAGCTTAAGCTGCCCCATGAGAGGTGGGTAGCTGGTGAAAGGGTCAGCCTCCCATCCTAACCCCTGTGGGCAGACTACACACGATAGTATCAGTGGAGCGTGACACGAGGGTAAACAGTCCACCCACAGGGATGCAATTGCAGACTTGGGGTGTTGAGGTCTGATGCGAACACTGTACAGTCAAATCTACTTGTTCACAGGTTCAGCCTCAGGAAAGCCCAAGTGGGAATTTCCTTCACTTTGGAACAAGACAACAATAAACACAAGCAATTTCACTTGTGATTTTTCCCTTTAAGGCAGGGAGTTAGAAGGTGATTCTGCTGAGAGGAGCAGGGAAGAATCTCCTCAAAAGTGATTTAAGCAGATAGTAAGGATGATGGATTTTTTGTTCAAAGGTTAGTAATACTGAAGTAGTAGTTTAGCTGATTAATTCACTCTGTGCCTATGCACACACATTCAGCAACCACTGTCAGTGGGTCTTTTCGGGGGGGGGGGGGGGGGGGGGGGAATGCTTTGGCTCATTCATCATCTCTAATGAGGCTGATAGAGAGTATCACAGTAATAATAGGTTTTGCAGTACCACACAGCTTGGAGACTGGGTGCTCTGCATTGTATTCGGCCAGGATTTCAAGATAATATCCACTACCTATCTTCCAGAAACTACAGATTCTAAGGGCTTTGCAGACAGTCAAGATGACTATCTGCTTTTCTAAGCTACAAAGTTCATCTCCGGTATATACCTCCACAGAAAGACGCACAAGGGCTAGTGTCTGCCAGCAGAGTCTCTGCTAGAACAATACTGTATTACAGTTTGACAACCAGTAGTTTTAACAAGTAGATTAGTCTTCCATAATGAAGTAAATTATTCTGACCTATTTCTGTAATGCAAGTACTGCATCTACTATTGCAGAAGTCAGAGGACAGGAGGACCCAAAAGAACTTGAAAGAATTTAGTCTGACAGAGCTAATCATGACTGGAAGAAAAAAGAAACTAGAAAGAACTGTACATTTTGTTTCACAAAGAATAAGCTCTGTCCCAGGATCATCCGAAGTATCATCCAGACACTGTACTTGCTGTCTGCAGCTAGATGAGAAAAAGCACCCACCAAAATACTGTACAATAAACAGGAACCCTCAGCAAAACACAGATGCCACGAAAAATTAGCAAAAAGAAGAAAAAAAGCACAGTGTTCTGATCAAACCCAGCTAAAGAAGAAGAAAGTCACTGCCAGCTGACAAAAACTTACACAGGCTGACCAAGAGCAAGCAATGATTTCTTTCTCTGGCTACGGGGACAAGAGGTCAGAGGAGAGGAGGGAGAGGAGGGATTTGAGGTTTGTTTACTTGGAGGGCTGTTATTTTGTGAAATTCAGTGGAAGAGTTATTTACAAGCAAAAAGGACTTTTTTTTCTTAAAATTTAGAGTTTCACAAAGTTTACATAGTCAAAAATGAAGCCCTGTGTTTATGAGGTGCCATCCCTCTAGTTTATTGCTGGCTTTGAGTTCAGGCTATTGTTAATAAGAAAACATCAAAGAGCAACATTTAGCAATAAACATGAATTACGTTAGCCACTTACCTCTCCCATGAAGTAAAAATCAGGAACAGAAAGAAAAACACTGTCATCCTTGCACAGACTCTAATTTCTTGGCCCAAAGTACCTCTGCTCCATCCCAATGAAGAAGCTGGTGGGAAGCATGTTCTGCTCAGCCCCCTGCTATTTCTTCCAAGAAACACTCACAGAACAAGACATCCTCTCTTCTACTTGCCTTTCATAAGAACCCCATCACAGGCATAATTTCACTACCTTCTCCCCCAAACCTTTTCCTGATTGGCATTATGCCATATTCCTACCCTTCCTCCTTGTATGCTCCCCTTTCACTTCCCTCTAAAAGTGCCACCATGCTTTAGTATCTTCAATCCTTAGAATAGTGTGTGTGTGTGTCCCAAAGAAAACAAGTGGTTCCCCTCTTCTTCTTTCTTCTGGGACACAATGCTTCCTGATTCTGCTTTTCAGAACAGCCTTTGAAACCCCTCCAAACCTCTCCAGCAGTCTGTGAATCTCAGTCCATGAAAACAATTTTTTTCTCTTCTGTACCCACTCAGAAGACAAATTCAGATTCTGATTTTAGATTCAGTAACTGAATCACTTGAATCAACTGATTGCCGCTCTGTCCTTTTCCCTAGTGTTCCTAAACACTATTTTGCCTCAATGCCATTCAACTATTTCTTGGTTGGTGACAGTCTGTGAAAACAGCTATCCACAAGAGTAATTTTTCCATCCTGTTCTTCTAAGCTCACCCTCCCTTTCTTTGCTACCACAGCTTCAATAGCTCCTCTCCCATCAGGTCACCTACATAGCTGCTTTGCCCCTACCACATCTCTCAATCAGTACTGCCTCAACTCTTAATATTTAAGCCCACAGTGCTGTTCTTCAAGAAACAATTGTTCACAGTGAAGTCTTTAATATAAATCTTTGCCTTAAGTGGTTGGTCTGTCTTTCCAGAGGCAAATTTCTTCCTTTTTTCTTCCAGTCCCCCACATCTCTGAGTACAAACCAGGGTACAAACCAAGGTCTGTTTTTGCAAAGGATGTAGACCAAGCTGTCCCTGTACTTCCAAGTGAACACCGATCACCACACACCCATCACACCACACAGCTTCAGCACACAGGTCAGGATGCATGCTTACACGGCATGTCACCACCAGTACAAAGGGGAAAGAACATTTGCCACCCAGAGGAATAAAGGACCACTGAATCAGGAAGTCTGATCAACACTGCCAACAGCAGAAAAAACCATGATCCCAGCTTCCTGCAGGAAGAC